GCCTAGGGTATATGTCCCCAGGCACTGAAACTGCTGTGGCACTGAACTTGTGTCTGAATGGCTCAGTACCTGCCTCTGCCAGGACACTTGCTATGCACCCCTTAGAGCCGTGTACCCAAGGCAGGTGAACTCTGTAAGCCCATTGGATGCATTGCCTGGGTAGTGCCACTAGATGGGTCTCTAACTATTTAATTTCCAGCAGTATGGGTTTGGGGTGATGGTTTTTACTTCAGAACTTGGGTCCTAGGCTTTCTCTAATGGAGATTTCAGTACTGTGTGGGAAAACTCCGGGGGTTCATTTGAGATGTCCTGCCTCACATTTGTATGTAGAGACAACTATAAAAATCTAGATTTTGTTGGTGAGGGTGTCTTTTAGTAAATTGTTCACCCAGGAGTGGAGTGAGTCCTGTTGCACTTCACTTGCTCAGGAGAGTGTCTTTTTGTACTTTGGCCAAGAGTACCACATGTCCTAATGCTGGGTCTCGTTTGGGGCCACCAGGAAAAGCCCAAGAGAATCACAGAAGTCTCGTGCTTCTTCCCTGCCACCTCCCCACCCCCTTCCGATCACTGAATCAACACCAGCAACCACTCACCTTGAGATTCATTGTTAGATGAGAGAAAATGAAAACCTCACCTTGCTTCCTGGGTTCTGCTGCTCACAGCTGAATGAAATGCCTTACTGATGAATGAAAAAATTAAGGGAAAGCTCTAAGTGAAGGGAATCAGGAGAAACTTCTGTCCTGGCTTGAGGTCCAGACCCGTTGTCCTATTCTGTGCCCCTGAGCCAGTCACTCTACCCCCAAGGCTCAATGTCAAGGCAGGACGACTGTGCTCTGAATCCTCCTACCCCACCCCACATTGTGATGTCCTCTTTGTATGTTCTGCCTTGGATTCTAGGCCCTGGGTATAATAAGGACACGAGATTTTTCACCATCCTTCACGGAGTTTACAGGTTGGGGGAATGAGAATTACCTCTCTGGTAGGATGGCCACATTTCCAGAAAGAGCTCATTAGCTTATTTCATGGACGCTAGAGCTCAGGGTCTGATGACAACTCACCACTCCCTTTGCAGCGAGGCCAATGGAAATTCACAGAGGCTTAAACCTACTGTTTCATTTCAAAGGACATCTTCTCCCCAGGCAAACATGGGCGAAAGGAGTCCTCCCTGATAACAATGAGGGATTCAGGCCAGATATTTTATTTTTTCCTGCAGATTGTTTTTTTTATTATGTTAATCACCATACATTACATCATTAGTTTCTGATGTAGTGTTCCATGATTCATTGTTTGTGTATAACACCCATTGCTCATTTCAGTACATGCCCTCTTTAACACCCATCACCAGGCTAACCCATACTCCCACCCCACCCTGGAACCCTCAGTTTGTTTCTGAGTCCATAGTCTCTCAAAGTTCATCTCCCCCTCCGATTTCCCCCCTTCATTTTTCCCTTCCTACTATCTTCTTCTTCTTTTTTTTTTTTTTTTAACATATAATGTATTATTTGTTTCAGAGGTACAGGTCTGTGATTCAACAGTCTTACACAATTCACAGTGTTCACTATAACACATACCCTACCCAATGTCTATCACCCAGCCACCCCATCCCTCCTACCCCCACCACTCCAGCAACCCTCAGTTTGTTTCCTGAGATTAAGAATTCCTCATATCAGTGAGATTATATGATACATCTCTTTCTCTGATTGACTTATTTAGCTCAGCATAATACCCTCCAGTTCCATCCCCGTCATTGCAAATGGCAAGATTTTATTCCTTTTGATGGCTGCATAATATTCCCTTGTATATATATATACAACATCATCTTTATCCATTCATCTGTCGATGGACATCTTGGCTCTTTCTATAGTTTGGCTATTGTGGACATTGCTGCTATAAACATCGGGGTGCACATACCCCTTCGGATCCCTACATTTGTATCTTTGGGGTAAATACCCAGTAGTGCAATTGCTGGATCATATGGTAGCTCTATTTTCAACTGTTTGAGGAACCTCCATACTGTTTTCCAGAGTGGTTGCACCAGCTTGCATTCCCACCAACAGTGTAGGAGGGTTCCCCTTTCTCCGCATCCCCGCCAACATCTGTCGTTTCCTGACTTGCTAATTTTAGCCATTCTGACTGGTGTGAAGTGGTATCTTATTGAGGTTTTGATTTGGATTTCCCTGATGCCGAGCGATGTTGAGCACTTTTTCATGAGTCTGTTGGCCATTTGGATGTCTTCTTTGGAAAAATGTCTGTTCATGTCTTCTGCCCATTTCTTGATTGGATCATTTGTTCTTTGGGTGTTGAGTTTGAGAAGTTCTTTATAGATTTTGGATACTAGCCCTTTATCTGATATGTCATTTGCAAATATCTTTTCCCATTCTGTCGGGTGTCTTTTGGTTTTGTTGACTGTTTCTTTTGCTGTGCAGAAGGTTTTTATCTTTATGGAGTCCCAATAGTTCATTTTTGCCCTTGCTTCCCTTGCCTTTGGCGATGTTTCTAGGAAGAAGTTTGCTGCGGCTGAGGTCGAAGAGGTTGCTGCCTGTGTTTGCCTTTAGGATTTTGATGGACTCCTGTCTCACACTGAGGTCTTTCAACCATTTGGAGTCTATTTTTGTGTGTGGTGTAAGGAAATGGTCCAGTTTCATTCTTCTGCATGTGGCTGTCCAATTTTCCCAACACCATTTGTTGAAGAGACTTTTTTCCATTGGACATTGTTTCCTGCTTTGTCAAAGACTTGTTGACTATAGAGTTGAGGGTCCATTCTGGGCTCTCTGTTCTGTTCCATTGATCTATGTGTCTGTTTTTGTGCCAGTATCATACTGTCTTGATGATGCCAGCTTTGTAATAGAGCTTGAAGTCGGAATTGTGATGCCACCAGCTTTACTTTGCTTTTTCAACATTCCTCTGGCTGTTCAGGGTCTTTTCTGGTTCCATACAAATTTTAGGATTATTTGTTCCATTTCTTTGAAAAAAGTGGATGGTTTTTGGATAGGGATTGCATTAAATGTGTAGATTGCTCTAGGTAGCATTGACATCTTCATAATATTTGTTCTTCCAATCCATGAGCATGGAACATTTTTCCATTTCTTTGTGTCTTCCTCAATTTCCTTCATGAGTATTTTATAGTTTTCTGAGGACAGATTCTTTGCCCCTTTGGTTAGATTTATTCCTAGGTATATTATGGTTTTGGGTACAATTGTAAAAGGGATCAACTCTTTAATTTCTCTTTCTTCTGTCTTCTTGTTGGTGTATAGGAATGCCACTGATTTCTGTGCATTGATTTTATATCCTGCCATTTGACTGAATTCCTGTATGAGTTCTAGCAGTTTTGGGATGGAGTCTTTTGGGTTTTCCACATAAAATGTCATATCATCTGCAAATAGTGAGAGTTTGACTATTTCTTTGCCGATTCGGATGACTTTTATTTCTTTTTGTTGTCTGATTGCTGTGCTTAGGACTTCTAATACTATGTTGAATAGCAGTGGTGATAGGGGCCATCCCTGCCATGTTCCTGACCTTAGGGGGAAGCTCTCAGTTTTTCCGCATTGAGAATGATATTCGCTGTGGGCTTTTCATAGATGGCTTTTATGATATTGAGGTATGTGCCCTCTATCCCTATACTCTGAAGGGTTTTGATCAAGAAAGGATGCTGTACTTTGTCAAATGCTTTTTCTGCATCCATTGAGAGGATCATATGATTCTTGTTCTTTCTTTTGTTAATGTATTGTATCACGTTGATTGATTTGTGGATGTTGAACCAACCTTGCAGCCCAGGGAAAAATCCCACTTGGTCGTGGTGAATAATCCTTTTAATGTACTGTTGGATCCTATTGCATAGTATTTTGGTGAGAATTTTTGCATCCATGTTCATCAGGGATATTGGTCTGTAATTCTCCTTTTTGATGGGGTCTTTGGTTTTGGGATCAAGGTAATGGTGGCCTCATAAAACAAGTTTGGAAGAGTTTCTTCCATTTCTATTTTTTGGAACAGTTTCAGAAGAATAGGTATTAATTCTTCTTTAAATGTTTGGTAGAATTCCCCTGGGAAGCCATCTGGCCCCGGGCTTTTTGTTGGGAGATTTTTGATGACTGCTTCAATTTCCTTAGTGGTTATAGGTCTGCTCAGGTTTTCTATTTCTTCCTGGTTCAGTTTTGGTAGTTGATACATCTCTAGGAATGCATCCATTTCTTCCAGGTTATCTAATTTGCTGGCATAGAGTTGCTCATAATATGTTCTTATAATTGTTTGTATTTCTTTGGTGTTGGTTGTGATCTCTCCTCTTTCATTCATGATTTTATTTATTTGGGTCCTTTCTCTTTTCTTTTTGATAAGTCTGGCCAGGGGTTTATCAATCTTATTCATCTTTCAAAGAACCAGCTCCCAGTTTTGTTGATCTGTTCTGTTCTTTTGGTTTCTATTTCATTGATTTCTGCTCTGATCTTTATTATTTCTCTTCTCCTGCCAGGTTTAGGCTTTATTTGCTGTTCTTTCTCCAGCTCCTTTAGGTGTAGGGTTAGGTTGTGTATTTGAGACCTTTCTTGTTTCTTGGGAAAGACTTGTATTGCTATATACTTTCCTCTTAGGACTGCCTTTGCTGCATCCCAAAGATTTTGAACAGTTGTGTTTTCATTTTCATTGGTTTCCATGAATTTTTTTAATTCTTCTTTAACTTCCTAGTTGACCCATTTATTCTTTAGTAGGAAGCTCTTTAGCCTCCATGTATTTGAGTTCTTTCCAACTTTCCTTTTGTGATTGAGTTCTAGTTTCAAAGCATTGTGCTCTGAAAATATGCAGGGAATGATCCCAGTCTTTTGGTACCGGTTGAGACCTGATTTGTGACCGAGGATGTGATCTAGTCTGGAGAATGTTCCATGGGCACTAGAGAAGAATGTGTATTCTGTTGCTTTGGGATGGAATGTTCTGAATTTATCTGTTAAGTCCATTTGGTCCAGTGTGTCATTTAAAGTCTTTATTTCCTTGTTGATCTTTTGCTTAGACGATCTTTCCATTTCAGTGAGGGGGGTGTTAAAGTCCCCCACTATTACTGTATTGTTGTCAATGTGTTTCTTTGCTTTTTTATTAATTGCCTTATATAATTGGCTGCTCCCATGTTCGGGGCATAGATATTTACAATTGTTAGATCTTCTTGTTGGATAGACCCTTATGTAGGATATAGTGTCCTTCCTCATCTCTTATTACAGTCTTTGTTTTAAAATCTAGTTTGTCTGATATAAGGATTGCCACCCCAGCTTTCTTTTGGTGTCCATTAGCATGGTAAATGGTTTTCCACCCCCTCACTTTCAATGTGGGGGTGTCTTTGGGTCTAAAATGAGTTTCTTGCAGACAGCATATCGATGGGTCTTGTTTTTTTATCCAATCTGATAGCCTGTGTCTTTTGATTGGGGCATTGAGCCCATTTACATTCAGGGTAACTGTTGAAAGATATGAATTTAGTGCCATTGTATTGCCTGTGAGGTGACTGTTACTGTATATTGTCCGTGTTCCTTTTCAGGTCTATGTTGCTTTTAGGCTCTCTCTTTGCTTAGAGGACCCCTTTCAGTATATCTTGTAGGGCTGGTTTCGTGTTTGCAAATTCCTTTAGTTTTTGTTTGTCCTGGAAGATTTTTCTCTCTCCTTCTATTTTCAATGACAGCCTAGCTGGATATAGTATTCTTGGCTGCATATTTTTCTCATTTAGTGCTCTGACTATATCAAGCCAGTCCTTTCTGGCCTGCCAGGTCTCTGTGGATAGGTCTGTTGCCAATCTAACGTTTCTACTATTGTAGGTTACAGACCTCTTGTCCCAAGCTGCTTTCAGGATTTTCTCTTTGTCTCTGAGACTCATAGGTTTTACTATAAAATGTCGGGGTGTTTACCTATTTTTATTGGATTTGAGGGGTTTTCTCTGTGCCTCCTGGATTTTGATGCCTGTTTCCTTCCCCACGTTAGGGAAGTTCTCTGCTATAATTTGCTCCAATATAAGTTCTACTCCTCTCTCTCTCTCTCCTTCTGGGATCCGAATTTTTCTAATATTGTTTTGTCTTATGGTATCACTTATCTCTCGAATTCTGCCCTCCTGATCCAGTAGTTGTTTATCTTTTTCTCAGCTTATTTTCCATCATTTGGTCTTCTATATCACTAATTCTCTCTTCTGCCTCATTTATCCTAGCAGTTAGAGCCTCCATTTTTGATTGCACCTCATTAACGGCCTTTTTGATTTCGACTTGGTTAGATTTTAGTTCTTTTATTTCTCCAGAAAAGGTTTCTCTAATATCTTCCATGCTTTTTTCAAGCCCAGCTAGTATCTTTAAAATTGTCATTCTGAACTCTAGTTCCAACATCTTACTAATGTCCGTATTGATTAGGTCCCTGGCAGTTGGTACTGCCTCTTGTTCTTTTTTTTAGGTGATTTTTTTTCTGTCTTGTCATTTTATCCAGAAGAGAATAGATGAATGAGAGAACAAAATGCTAACAGGGTAACAACGACCCCAGAAAAATATACACTAAACAAATCAGAGGAGACCTGAAACCAGGAGAAAAGAAAGGGAAAGAAAGAAAAAAAGAAAAAAAAATTATCAAATACGATCACGCTGGTGAATAGATCAGTGCCACACACTAGATTTTGGGTGTATTTTGGTTTGTTAGAAGAAAGTGCCTCCCAAAATTTTAAAGAAAGAAAAGCTTATATATGTACAAAAATAAGGGTAAATACAATGAAGGGAGGGAATATGACTGTAAAGATGAAAATTATAAAAGATTTTATAACAGGAATTGATAAAAGTTGGTTGAAAAAAGAAAGAAGAGGAATTAAAATAAAAGGGAGAGAATGTGATCTGGCAGGAGACTAGAACAAAGCCATACACTAGAGATCTAGGGTATATTTTTGTCTGTTAGAAGATACTGTATCTGAAAATTTTAAAGAGAGAATAACTTACATATATATATACCAAAAATAAGGTTAACTACTATGAAGGGATAGAATATGACTCTAAAAATGAAAAGTAAAAAAGATTTTTAAAAAAGGGATTGATATGTTGGTTGAAAAAGAGAAAAAGAAAAATTCAAAAAAAAAAAAAAGAAAAAGAAAAAAAAGAAAATTAAAAAATTAACTTTGAAAGACTAAAGAATCATGGTAAAAAAGCCATGAATTCTATGTGCAGTATTCCCCTAGCTCTGGAGTTCTGCCATTCTCATTGATCAGTACACTTGGTCTTGGCTGGCTGTTCTTGCTGATCTTCTGGGGGAGGGGCCTGTTGCTGTGGTTCCCAGATGTCTTTGCCGGAGGCAGAATTGCCCCACCCTTGCGACCGGGCTAAGTAATCTGCTCAGGTTTGCCCTTGGGAGCTTTTGTTCCCTGAAAGCTTTCCCTACAGCTTTGGAGGATGAGAGTGAAAATGGCAGCCTCCCAATCTCTGCCCCTGAGGAGCTGAGAACTTGGGGCTCCACTCCTCAGTGCGCCCCCAGAGAAAAGCAGTCAGTCACTCCCGTCTCCCTGGTCTCCGGCTGCACTCCATGCTCACCCGGCCTGTGACCAAGCATTTCTATCTCTGTGTAGAGTCTCCAAACCCAGCAGATCCCTGTGGTGCGCTCCCACGCCGCTCCTCCCGGGGGAGGATGGGGAGTCTCCCCGGCTCTGCCGCTTGTTGTGTCCCTGCTGGAGGAGCAGTGGCCCGACTGGGCCGCGGATCACAGTTTATGGCAACCCCGAGCTGAGAGCCCACACCTCGGCTCTGTCTCTGCAGCCGGCTTCCCCGCTCCAATACCTGGGAGCTCTGCCACACTCAGGTACCCCCGGTCTTCCTGTGACCCCGAGGGTCCTGAGACCACAGTGTCCCGCGAGGGTTCCACCTCCCGCTTAGCCACTGCAGCGACGTCCCTCAGCGGAGCCGACTTCTAAAAGTTCCAATTTTGTGCTCCGCGGCTCTATCACTTGCCAGAAGCGGCCGACGGAGGCCCCCTCCCCCACCGTCTATCCTCCCGAATATCGCCTCGGATTCACTTCTCCGCACGTCCTCCCTTCCAGTAAGTGGTTGCTTCTCTGTTCAGAGAGTTGTTGCTACTCTCCTCTTCGATCTCCTGTTGAGTTCGTAGGTGTTCAGAATGGTTTGATCCCTATTCAGCTGAATTCCTGAGACCAGACGAAATCTAGGTCTCCTACTCCTCCGCCATCTTGCTCCTCTCCCTCCCTGCAGATTGTTTTTGACATTTATTTTAACTCTTGTGAATTCTAACGCCCATATAGAAAAATATATTAACTATAATGTATACTTTAACTTTTTAAAATATAAAATAAGCCTGGGATCGAGCCCTGCATCGGGCTCCCTGCTCAGCCGGGAGTCTGCTTCTCCCTCTCCTTCTGCCCACCCTGCCCCCACTTGTGATTTCTCTCTCTCAAATAAAATCTTAAAAAATTTTCAAACATAAAGAATAAAAGAACACCCACATACCTACTACTAAATCAATAATTATTAACATTTTGGCATATTTGCTCTTTTATCCATATCTATCATCTGTTTTGTGGGTGTGAATTGTATGAAAACAGCAGTTGTGAGGACACTTACTTTTAAATATTTCGACATAACTCTGCTAAGGAGATGGATATTTTACTCTTTAATCACACTGATCTAGAAAATTAATATATTTAATCCATAGTCAGATTTCCCCAGTTGACCCAAAAATGTCTTTTATGGCTAGTTTTTTGAAATCTGGACCCACTCAAAGTTTATACATCACATTTGGTTGTATCCCTTGTCTCTTGTTTTCATGACCCTGACCCTTAAAAAGGCTAGGCTAGTTTTCTCGAAGCCTCTCATTCTGCATTTGTCTGCTGTGTCTTCTTGGTGTTTCGCCTGCTCTCTGGTATTTCCTGTAAACTGGAAGTTAGGGCTAACGGCTTCATTAGGGTAGTCTTGTTGTGGTTTTAACTCTTGTCTGTTGGATTTCTAATGAGATTGAACCCTTTTTCATATACTTGCCATTTGGATTTCTTCTCTGTCGTGCCTATTCAAGTTGCTTGCCTATTTTTCTACTCTTGTCTAATTTTTCTTATTGATTTGTAGGAGTTTTATTTTTTATTCTAGATATGTGTGAAAATGTGTTCTCCCACTCTGTGGTTTGCCTTTTTACCTTTGTGAAGATGCTTTGAGTAGAAGTTCTTAAATTTAATGTCTGATTTATCAATGTTTCTGTGACTTGTTATAGGAAACTTTCTTGAGCTGGGGTGAAAGATGTTCTTCTAGATGAGATCCAGTTATGAAAGGCAACTGAAGGGGATAAAATCCTCCTGGAAGAGTTTCTGTGTATGGTGTGAAGCCCAGTCCGGGTTTCATTTCCTCCCCACAAAACTATTAAAAAGAGTGTCCTTTCCCTAGTGTCCACAGTGCTACCTGCACCATAAGCCAAGGGCCCCTGTGTGTGAGTCTGTTTGGAAGATCTCCATTCTTTCCATCAGACCAACACATTTTCTTAGTCACCGTAGCTTTGTACTGAGTGTGGACATCCAACTGTGCAAGGTTTCCTCTGTATTACTGCAAGGATGACTTGCCTGAGATTTTGACATTTTGTGTAAGGACTGACTCAAACCTGGAGCTTTCCTTTTGAAATGAGTATCATGGGGTTATAATTCTTTTCCGGGCTACCTTCTTGGAATTGACTTGCCAGCTTCCCAGTTGCTCCTTCCCAGGGGCTTTCGCATCCATGGCTTTCGTCTGATTTGGGCCCATGGAAGTCTGATATTTGGAATCCCTATATTTGTTACATTCTGTTTCTTGGAACAGCCTGAAATGTAGCAGTTGAATCTGAAATAGCTTATGACTTTTCTAAGAGAAATCACCTGATATTTGGAAATGGGTGACAGAGAGGCTGTTTTAACCCCTCCTTTGGTGACTGCACCCTGGAGAGAGAATGAGCTCTGGAGTCTGATTTTTGGGTTCAGGTTTGGGGTAAACCATTTACTAGCCTATATCACTTACCAGCCATGGGACCCTGGGCAAGTTAGTGAACCTCCCTGGCCT